ACTAAAGAAAATCTCATAAATGTTTTAATATTTCACGTTTAAACACATGATGACATCATTTCCTATTTATTGTGATAATCAACTTGTGTCTTTGTCATTTAATGTTTTTCCAATAATTTCAAAGTTTATCCATAAATGTGATTCTCTCTGTTTCTACGTTCTGCATGTTGACGTGAACGTCCTCACCTGGTCCCTGAACAGGTGAGTGTTTGTGTTGAACGAGATGATTGACGTGAGCAGACGTTTGGTTTTTCCCTTTTCTTTATCCTGACGTCGGTGAAGAGAAACTTCTGCAAATAGACGAAGGTCAAAACTGTTTTCAGAGCCGAGGTCAGAATATTAATGTTCATGTTAATTTATGCGTAATGATGAGGTGCAGGTGGAAAATAAAATAAAGCAGGAGATCACTTTAACTAATTCTGCATAAAAGTGAAGGTTAAAGACGTGACCTCCACTTTCTGAGCTTCTTCAGCTGCTCAATGATTCACAAACAGATTTAAACCTGTGTTAAAAACGACCTCTTTAAAAACGTAGATCTGATCTCTTCTCTATCAAACGTAGAGAAAAATGTTGAAATGTTCGGCGACAGATGATTTTAACTTGAAACCAAATCTGTAAAAGCAGGAAACACACGCTGATGGAGAAACTCTCAGATAATCTGATGTGGTTCGATCAGTTCAGCGTAGAACAAGAGAAATAAAACACATTTGATTTAAAAGTGCACATTTAATAAACATCATTGTGTTTTTTTTTTAAAGAGTCAAAAATCAAACATTTATTTCTGCAAACTCACCTGCTCCGTGTGAGTCTGGGAATCAAACCAGCGACCTCAGGTCACCCGCTGACTCACCCCGTCAGGAAGTTTGGACAGAACAGTCACAAAGTTAAGTTGCACTTCTCCTCCAATGACATCGAGTCTCTGCTCCCAGCTGTCGTCCTGCATGTCGTCCAATCAGCTGATGAATATTCAGCGGCGGGTATTAGCATATTGTTCAGGATATTAGCATCTAGGCGCTGACAGCAGCATCATTGTGCGGGGAACAGATGAATCAGAGGTGGAGAGAGAGTGGGCAGCTCGGGCCCGGGGGGGACAGCGGGTCAGGATTCATTACGTTCACGACGTGGACGGGTCACGGAGGCCGCAGCTCGGCCCGATGGGAAGAAGGTGGCGGCAGAGGAGAAGATTCACAAACACTGAGAGTAAAGTCTGAGCAGATTCAAGACATGTTTTAAAAACGTAGATCTTTCTGTGTCGTGGCCTCCGGTCGACAGACGAGCTGCGTTTAACGCCACCGACAACAGGTTCGCTGACGTTCAGGGACGTGATGTCAATAGATGATTCCTCCCGTTGAACAAAGATCGAGATAAAATATCTCGGATACGAACTCTTGTGCTTTTGGCGTCATTTGGATTCAGAGTCTGTGGAGAAGTGGAGGTCCCGCCCACACACCAGCTCCACCTCTCAGCTGTCAATCATGACGTCTCCGCCCATTTTAACTTTTGTATAAATACGTATTTGCACTTTATGAGTTAATGTGAACTTAGACACACAGTCCATAGAGTTAGAGTCAAAGCACCTTCATGGTCTTAGTTTTGTGTCGTATAGGATTAGATTTTTTTATATTTGCTTTTATTTTTCTTTAACTGTCACGTTGAGGAAACGGTGTCGAATGTGGATTTCTTTATAAAGGTGATATCAAAAGCAGCTTTGACGTGTTTGATCACATATGAACGTGCATCTCTTTAATTAATGTCTCTTAATGGAAGAGCTCAGTTCATCTGCAGTTACACTCACAGTCCACATTCAAACACAAAGCAGCAGCTGCCGGGTGAGATGAAGCTCCGAGATGTAAATGTGCTCGGGGATGAAGCCGATGCATTTTTCATGGTGAACGCAGCAGCTCGACTCCTCTCACATGACGACGAGCTCTTATTGTCCCGTGTGCTCAGCGGGGCGTGCGACCAGGGGCACAAATGCAATCTGCACCTCGCTCTCTGGAACGGATTCAGCTCTGCAGGAAAAGTGACGTAATGTGTCCTGTGTTTTATCCCTTTAAGATGAAGATGTAGATATGCAGAGGTGGAGAGTACAATTACACACATACTGAAATATGCGTGTACATAAACTCTATACTATTTCGTATCACTGCAACGTCTACGTTTCTAATTTCACTATCTCATTTTACTCTGTATCACCAACAACAGAACTTTACATTTCAGATTCCTCTGAGTTATTCATGAGAACAAAACCAAAACAATAATTGAGAAAAATACTTACTTAGTATTTTTGTGTAAGTAAAGAATCTGAATACTTGATGAGGCTTCGTCCACACTGAAACATTTTAGTTTAAAGATTCTTCACTCTAAATAGTAATAAGACTCCAGAGACTCAACTGGTTTTAGTTTGAAAACTCTGGGGTTGTGTTTTAATCTGGACGAACAGAAACTGAGACTTTAGTAAACGATGACGCCCCCTTCTCTCCTGATTGGTTCTCATCAGTCACATGACTCGACTACCAGCGTCGAACACAAAGCGTCGCTAACACTTCCTGTCAGTAACAGTTCCACCTCGTCATCGCTCAGAGAAAAGAAATCTCTGCTCTGACTTTTCACCATCACTGTTGCATATTGTTTTATACATTATTATATATTATTATATATTATTATATATTATCATAACATAGTTTTATATATTATTATATATTATTATATATCACAGTGATACATGTTGACCTGCTGCTGGTTTGTGGTTCTGAACTTGAAATCTTCTGTGGTTCTACATTGAGTGGCTGAATAATGTTTCTCATGTTAGATGTGAGAGAGTTGAAGCTCAACACACTGTGACCGTCAGCACACGGCCTGAGGCTGTTTGTTTACATGTTAACTTGGCGTGTACATGGCATGTATGAGCTCTACACGACTAACATACAAACATAACAAGGAGGCAATCAACTCATTGCACGGCATCGAGAGCGCAACACAGGAGGATTCTGGGAAACACTCGTTGTATAAGAACAGCAACAATAACAGGAGAAAAAAAACAACTTTATAATAAACAAGATATTGAATGATAATGAAACACAACATTACTTCTTACATTCAAAAGAACTCTGTTTTTAAGTCTAGTTTTATATATTATATATATTAAATATCCCGGTGTGTGCAGTGTTTTCTAAATAATATAATAATCATTATTTGTACTTAAGCCTCTCTCTGTGTTTAATCTGGTTTCAGTCTCTGAGTGACGGATCATAAGTCACGACAGGAGGAGTCTCCAGGCCGTGAACTGCTCGTTACTGTCAGAGCCTCGTTAAAAAAGCCTCGTCCCTGTAGCTCAGCTGTTTCTAATGAGGCCGATCACTGTCACCCTGAGCGCAGGCAGCCATCTACCCCCCCCCCCACACACCGAAACGCTCGCTCGGCTGAAATGAAGCCTGACGGGACGTTCAAGGGCGGAGCGGAGTGCAGGCTCGTCTAAAACACACTGTCTCCGTGACCTCGTGACAGAGGTCGAGTCGCTCTGCAGAATCTGTGATGTCCAACACTCTGAGCGTGACCTCTGACCTTCCGACTGATTTTCACTGCACTAGGTGCGACTGAGTATCGGGGCCACCTACAGGAGACTTCAAGAATAAAGTCGTAATATTAAAGAATAAAGTCGTAATTTGTCTTGTTTTTCATTTAATCTTAATCTTTGTGATATCGTGACTTTTTCCTCGTTAAATCAAAACTTTATTCAAGTAAAATATTATGATTTAAATTCAGTAATTTTCTTTGTGATCTTTCACTGACTGAGGCCTGCAGAATAAAGTGTCCGTTAGAATCAGTCGTAAATCCTTCATCGACCAATCGGCAGTAGAATATTATTTTCAGTTCCGATACATAATTAATACGACATTTAAATAACGTTAAAATAAAATGCAGACGTAAATAAAATCATTATTTTAGCTGTTTTGCTCACTACTGCCCTCTAGGTGAACTGCAGCTGTGGTCGGACTGATTCAGCGCTCAGCGACACTCAGGTCGGCCATGTTGTGGACCGATGGTTTGACTGCAGCTCTCACTGCCACTTTACCACCGATAAATAAAACATAGAGACTCCATCTTTCTTTCTATCCATCTATCTATATCACACACACACACACACACACACACACACACACACACACACACACACACACACTATGGTCATGACATACAACATAAAGTGGTGCTGTCACTTTACATCAGAGCAGACGACCAACTCACTCTTCTATAGATCTCTGAGCTTTAAAACAAATGTAGGTGAACTGGGATTTTATTTTTGAATTGACGTCACACCACAGGCTCACTTCCTGTCTGTGGTTTGAAACGTGTCTGAAGTCACTGAGACTTCAGACACGTTTCAAACACTGAACCAGATCTGGATCTTCCACTAACCAGTTCAACCAGTTCAACCAGTTCAGTCGAGAGCAGTGATTCAATCAGCTGATTCTTCACCAGCCACAGAAAACCACAACACAAACCTGAGTCACTGACTTTATTCATCTTCATCAGGTTTTCTTCAACTTAAAGTTATTGCTGTTTTATCCTCTTGTGAAGCACCTTTAGTAACT